TCAAAATGATGCCAAAACATTTAATGACTAACCAAAATCAACATACATTATTTTTCTAAAACTCTATGTGCCTAAAAAGAGTGATATGTTTCTTCTGATGCTCAGCATGAAGGTACTGTGAAACATTTAAAAACCAGCAGTAGTTCTATCTGCTTTAGTTGTCAGTACAGAATATAAGAATTGCAGATCTACTCAGTGACACGATACATTCTGTTTTTCTCATTCAGTATACATATCTGCAATCATTTAAAAATGCAATTTACTTTCTAATATTATTTTAACTGAATACTTTTTCCAGAAGCCATGCTGCTTTTTTATTTGAAAGAGCAGAAACAATGAAAACAAATTACAGCTATAAAAATAAAGGCTCACCATATTACTTTTTGCCACGCAAAATAAAAGACTAATGACATCAGGCAAACTGACCATAATTTTTAAATAACATTTTAAAACATTGTTTTCCAATTTTAATACCAATAAAAAATATATATATATATATTTGCCAAAGTTCACCAAACACATTTTAATTAACAGTAATCTTTAAAAAATGGTTAAGAACAAGGATGTAAAAACTGGACACTGGGCTTGTCAAAATACATTACCCTGAAATTTGACCTTAGTCCTTTTTTGCACTCAGAATGCATATAAAATTAAAATCACATAACACTCCTAGTTTGCCAAGAAGCTTTACCCCATACAAGGTTTAAAAATTGCTACTGTTCACAATAGCGTCATGTTCTTAAGTCAGCTTTAATATGTTGCTTTTGGAAGAATTTAAGTGTTTAGTCTGCATTTTACAAAACCACTCAAAACAAAGATATCCTCTGTTTGTCAATGGACAGTCTGTGGGCTAGGATTGTGATCTGTGAGAGCTGTATTTGTCCAGGTCCTGGATGGTAGTGCTTTGTGCTCTCAGTGTAAGAAGAAGAGACTGGCCTGGACTCACAACACACTTCCAGTGGATGTGTGCATGTTGACTTAATATTTCTCCCTTGCTAATAAGAGACATGTACCATTAAGGAAAGCTATTAACTAATTAGTGATCCCAAACTGAAAGGGTAGGAAATAAAAAAACATTGATATAATAATGAAAATGTCTTCATTATTGATGCACATAATATCCTGACAGAATCTCAAAAATGGCCAAATTTATGTTACCTGACATTTGAAAACATATCTTTTTAATTTAGAACTTTGTTCTATTTATCTTTCTTTTTTATTTGTCTTTTATTGTTCTTATTTTATTACAACTTTCCTCATTTTTATTTCTTTTTCAAGCATAAATTGACATTTATGTTGCTTTACCGTATTACAGCGTTTTCCTTTACAACTGAAACTCTCTCTCTTAATTTTAGATTTTATTTTTACGCTTGGCTTGTAAAACACTTTGAGATGCTATTTGTAAGGTGCTCTATAAATAAAGTTTAATATTATTAAGACAATTAAGAAAAAATAAGCTGCATCAGGAGAGGCAAGACGGAGTTGTGGTTAACAATACTGCCTCATAGTGTTAAGGCCTCGGGTTCAACTCCTGGGGATGTTGTCTGCTTGGTCTGTCTGCTTAGAGTTTATCTGTTCTCCAAGAACTCGCATGGGTTTCCAATTCCTTCAATTTCCTCCCACTGTCCAAAGACATACTGGTAGGTTAGCTAGCTTCTAGGAGAACTGGCCCTGGTGTGAGTGTGTGCATGTCTGCGTGTGTGTTGTAATAGACTGGCATCCTGTCCAGAGTGTATCCTGCCTTGGGCCCAATGCTTGCCAGATGGGGTCAAGCTCCCCCACCACCCAGTATTGGATAAAGCAATTAGAAAATACATGGATGGAAGGAATCCATATCATATAAACGCATAGACCAAGCTCGTAAGTAACAGATGTATGTGGAGGTCATACTACAACTGTGGCAAAAAGCAATTTGACCAATGCATTAAAAATTAATGAACATCAACAGTTACTGTTGCAAGGCTACAAGACACTTTATTTTATTTTTATTTTGGTACAGGTTTACTCCTTATTTGCAAAGGGAGTGAAAACCCTTTCCACTAGTGATTAGTAAAATGTTTGCATTGGTGTGAACCAATGGTTGATTAACTTCAGACATCCATACAGGTCAAAGTATTTGGATACCTCTGGTCCGTGCAACAGCTTTCCATCATAGGTATGAGAATGACTTCTGCTCACTCCGTTCCACTTTTCTCTTTTCATTCTTTCAGTGTCATGACCGCTAATTCCATGCAAAATTATTACTGTTAGTACAGGATGTCCAACTGGTTCAGCAGACTATCCACATCTGCAATATTTAACTTGCAGATTACTTCAGAGTAAGAGGTTCTACTGATGCAAGTACAGTATGAATCCACAGGTGCAAAATTTAATTTAAGATTTTTCAAAATTTGATCAGTTTTATTTCAGTGGAGTCACACCTCCTCCTAAATCTGGTTGACAAAATGACTGGGGGTGCTTTGGAAATTCATTTCACCCGTAGCACAACTTTCAGTACTAAAACGTTACAAAACGGTGCAAGATGTGACGTTTGTGCTGTGATATAGGGACCTGCCCCTAGAAACCTTCTTGTTTCCGCAGGCTGAGCTGACCTGCGCTCCATTCTCACCACTGAGGCAATACGGAGCACGGGAACTTCCTGCCAAAGCATGCTTACAAAAATAACCTAAAGGCCCCTACAAAAATGCCCCAATTCTCTATAGAAACCTAGAGGTCATCTATAGGTTATTTTCCCACTCCTGTCACATGACAGTTGCCCCAGCTCTTTGACAGCGCGGTCTTTCCTGTCGGACCGTTCCCACACAAGGCCCGCAGACTGCGCGAGTTGGTGTGGAATGCATCTGCTGTACTGGAGGGCATGTGAGCACAGGTATCCAACGCCCCTGAAGCACTCGGCCAGTTCACAGAGAAGCGCACCATTAACCGACTCCTGCACACATGAATATCGTGATACTGACCTAGCGAGTACAGATGCGACACGCAAAACATTAGGAACACGGCTTTAAAAAAATACAACTGTGAAAGGGAGTGCAGGAGAAACCATGCCCCTTCAAATACTGTGCAGCCAAAAGTCCCTTAAACTTGCCTCACACCTCACCGGCACAGCACTCTCATCGGTGTTCATGCTAACCTGAGTATGAGGAACCTCTCCTGTACAGGTGATTTTTCTTTCCTTGAATTATTTCATAACCACAATTTCCGCTTGGTTTAGGGTGCAGAGAAAGCATGCAGCATGAAACGGGGTTCAAAGGCTGGGTTTTCATGGCATTGCCTCAAGCAGACAGCACACGGAACACATTAGTTTTGAGATGTCTCTCAAACCTAATGTCATATAAAAAACTAAAGGTCCTGGTTACATTGATGTGGGCTGCCCTGAACAAATACAAGCTCATGCTGTGTTTTATCAACTTTTGGGAAAAGGGCTGAAATAATGTCAATGACGTATAGTTGTTTTTTTTTAATGTCCTTCCGTGCCTCCAGGTGTCAAAGTTTGGAAATGGAAAAACACTGACTAACAAACTCGGCGTAGCTTTTAACAATTTGTATTTGTATGACTGAGACGCAAACGCAATTAGAACAATAAAATTATTTCCTGAGCATTAAAGGTATTTTTAGGTCAGCAATTTACATAAGGCTGATCTCTGAGGCCACGCATTAGCTGAGTGTAACCAAGGAAGAACAAAACGCTGAAATGGACAAAGTGAGGAATCGTTGCTTGCAGTCCCGCTGACTCAACCAAGCTAATCGGAAGAAAAAAAACACATTACTTTAAGTGAAACCATGCGCTTGAAGACAACACAGCTAGGAGTCTGTAACCCAGATACTGAATGTTACTCTGTGCCAAGGATTTGTCCAGGCACGACCAATTTTTTTACAATGTTTTTATTAATGTAAAAAAATGTACCACTGTGTATACAGTATATATGCCTATATATAACACAACATAAAACAGAGGCAAATACAGCGAGTATAACACCAAATGTTAAGCCAATCCTTTAAACCACAATGAAGAGAGGTTAAGGATCATTTCTGCTAAGTTGTGTGGGGATTTAAAATAAATTACAGACAAAAGCATTATACAAGCCTCCTGCAAGTACTAGATTTCAAATTAAACCCGTTTATTTATTTATTTTCACCTTTGAAAAATGTTACCAAGTGGTTTCAAAACATTTACGATCTAGCTAAACTTTCTGAACCTCAGTTTATTCAAAACAAAGCACTACTGTTGAATAAATATTAATTAGTAGGGTACCCAATAGTTTCAACGCCGTATAAGTGTACAATAGCACTCCAACAACAAATGCATTTTATTACATTTAAAATATAACAAGATCATATATCGAAATCAGACGTATGAATATGGTTTTGCCTTGCGATTTATCTAACAAGTTTGATAAACACCAGAAATAAGGTAAAACACTTAACAGACCAGTGATTCGCCAGGAGACGGTCTCAAGTCACTTAAAAACAGCCGTAAAAATGACATTATAAAGCTTCAGGCTTCGGATTTATGTAACTACTGTAGCTACACATGACAGGAAAAATCCACTACGTGATTATGGCTTTAGGAAAAACAATTCGTAGTAAAACTAGAAATAAGGAAATCGTAAGAAAAGAGAAAGCTATCAGAAAGTCTCTCCAACGCGCAGTGATGAAAACAAAAAGTAAAATTACACAGAGGGGAAGCATCTCTTACCCCGTCAGTGCTCTCTTCCATAACTCTTATGTGAATGTGTTTAGATCAGTGATCGGTAGCTTTCTCGCCTTCGCTGCACATAGACAGCTTGAAAAGTGTCACTTAATTCCGCTCATCTCCCAGCAGCGGAGAAAGGCTCATTCGCTCCTACACGCTCTCAGGTCTCGCAGTGCTCCTTCCAGACAGCGCTGGCCTACATTCGCCGCTGACAGGCGAGGGAGGCATTGCCGCTCTGCCTCCTGGAGCAGTGTCAGACTTGGGAAGGGAACGGGAAGGCGTGACAGTTCGTTCCAGGGGAATTCAAATGGGCTCCGAGACAGGCTGTTCGCGCACGGCTCTTGCAAAAATCCCCATTTCGTCCGCATTCAGCCGGCTAAGGCTGTCACTGTAAGTCCGTCCTTCGCAGAAACGAAAAAAAAAATACTCACCCTCATTCAGACTTTTACCAGAAGCGCCTTCCCATGCTCTTCTTTTCTTTTAGTTCTTGCACCGCTGCTACACTTTGCCTGGCTCGTTTGTATCGATATGTTTGTGTGTGAACTCTCTTCCCCCTCAATTGCCGTGACACTTGGTACATTCCTCATTAAAACGCTTCCTTGTTCTTTCTACCTTTCCCACAACCCGTGGCTCATTGTGCAAGAGCGCAGAGTGGCGTGGATACAGCAAGGTACATGTTGCCATGTAAAGACAGCAAGCTTTCTACTGACGAGACTAAATGAATGAAATTATCGTTTGCTTAATGAGCTGAAACTGCAGGTGTTTTGTATTGCTAATGTTCGATGTTAATGACCGAAAATCACTTAAAACGAGAAATCGTGAACTTAATAAAATATTCTGGTATTCCAAAAGCTCTTTAATCTTCTTATCTGTTTTAAAATCTATTAATTTAATCTTCTGAAATGTGAACGTTTTTCCTTTCTCTGTGGTCATCACTATTAGCGCCTGCTCTTACTGCACAGAAGCAAGACAAACTTGTGTAACACAGGGTATTGACTGTACTTGAGACGCGTATCAGATGTTGCTCCTGGAGACGTACAGTACTGTAGTAGTTTCTTAAATGAGAAACCCGGTTTACAATTAGATCAAACATAAGGTAAATCATAAATAAAATAAGAGTAATTACTGCAATGGAAAACTAAGTTATAAAATAATAGTACTGAATAGCTGTAAGAACGTCAGCATGGTTAAATGCGGGGAGGCCACTCAGTCCATGATGTTCATTTGATTGAAGGAATTAATCTAGCCGTTCTCAGCGAATCTGTTTCAACACAAACTGGGCTATAATTACTTAGTGTAACGACTGCCACTGGTTTACTTTTTTGAGTGTGCTTTAGGCTTGTTGCTAGATTTTGCTGTGGTGCAAAATGTCCCTTTTGAACATATTTTCTTTCATGAGCTGAGTTCACTCCACATTGATTTATATAGGAACTCTAAAAACTAATTTATCTGGCTGACACATTTTCTCAAAGCAACTTCCATTTGTGCCTATTTATATAATAGCAATCTTAAGCTTTGCTCAGATTCAAAAGCAGTGGGCTCAAATCCAGTCAGGATGTTAGCCCACAACTTTCATGTTCAGAATGCAAACGACCTCCAATTTTTTATATGGTGACATTATAAAGCACACCTTTGAAGCATCAGGCAATGACTTAAGTAACTGAAAGCATTGATCACATGAAAGCTTGGCTGAGGTTTTCAATGTAAATTTATTCTGATGGACAGAGTAGTAGCAATGCTATTATCCGGGTACTATGTGGACTCTTGGTGTCAGAGTTTCTCAAGAAGAAATATCCTTGCTTTTGTTGGTACCCTAAAGTAAAAGGCTTACGTAGATCAAAATTGATGCAGTTACCTAAAGATAAACACAAGTTCATATGTACAAGACCAAATCAGATGATTGTATAAGTATGTAAAAGAGAAAGTGATGCAACAAAACAGAAAGTGAAAAGAAATTGAATATCAAAATTCTGACATCCACTTCATACTTATAGTAGGGATTTTAAGCTAAAGTGCAATGAAAATTTGTATAAATGATACAGACATAGAACAAAAAACCCTTAAACAGAGAGGATGTATTTTAACTGTGGTATAGTATAGATTTCACGACTAAGATTTTAAATGTTCATGACAGGGAATCTCATACAGTAACCATGGCACCAAGTACAATTAGACAGTAAATACAGTTGCACATGATATCCTGTAGTTTACAAATGTATTAAAACTCCTGGAAAATTGTTAAAAGGTTCTTACATTTTGCAGAATCATCCAACAAGTTGAAAACTGAAAGCTGGTATGTCTGAAAGTGACTTTAATGTTAAAGTTTACTTTGGCTACCTTTTGGGTTTTTTGATGGAATTACATTTTAATACAGTACTCTCTCAGTAGTCTCCTGAATGCTTTCTTTGAGGTGTATTCTGAGGTTGGGAACATGAAATTCCACTGAATCAGCAATCATCTAAATCGAAATATGATAATAGACTTGAAAAAAACTGAAATATTTAGATTCAAATACCATCTGTTAATGATGGTGAACCATGTGCTTAACATCAATGGAAAACAAGTTTTCAATTACAAACCCTTTGTACAGTAAGGCATTTATGTCCTAGAACAACTTGACTAAAGTACTATACTTTTCTATGAGGTCCAAAAGCATTCTACCTGGCATTTGAATTTCTAGCCCTCCAATACCAGTAGAGTCCAGTCCCCTAACCACGATTCCTCGCAACTGTCCAAGTTAAAGTACTAAAACCTGGGAGTTCTCCCCAGGCCATGACAAATCTTCTTTCATACTTAACTGTGGCCATAAGGAGCCATAAGGCTCACTGTGTTTAACATCTCAGGGACTTCTGGGGAAAACCTCCACTTGGCAGCTGAATCCAAACAGTTTAAATGTGCACTTACTGTATGCAGTTATGCAGGAGCTGTACTGTAGACCTTTAGCATCTGTGTCTTAAAAGTATTTCTGTTTTCTATCCATGCTTGTGGTGTTCATATTGAGCTCTGAATCTTTTAAATTGTACTAATTGCTCATTGAATAGTTCAATGATAGCACTCTTAACTGTACCAAAGGTTAGGAGTCATCTTTGGTAAGCAAGACATGCTGAAGGCGTGCACTTCAAAATGAAGTCCACGCTAAGGACTGGTAAAGACTGTAATTTATAAAAAAAAAACAATAAATATATTTAAATCAAAAATAGAATTTGACAAATCTTTAGGATTTTCTACGGTTTGATATGCACAACAAATCAGAATTACAAAATCATCTGGATCTCTTAATGAATTTATGTTTAACCTTTTTTCTTTCAGACAAGATTGTCTTCAAATTAAGGGTGTTCCCATTCTGGTAAGATCTGTTGCGTAACTAGCATAAATATCAAGTCAAACCTGAATAATTGTAATAAATGCAAAAAAATAGCACAAATGGATTTAGAAAGTATTACATCACAGTCTGAGATTCAAATGTTATGTAGCTGTGATACAAATGTTTGATTGGCTGTATAATTTTGCGCAATATAATTATTTCATTCTTTTTGTTTATTCTTGCAGTGAAGTGAATGGAAATTCCATTGCTGTGCTGATGGTGCACTACAACTCACTGAAAGAGGGATGTCACTTACAGTACTTAATTCCTACAGTAATACTGTCTTGTTTCTGGAGTACATAATTTGATATATCCTTATTTTTTATCCTGCAGTCAGTCTTTAGTCTGAAGAGGTGTGAGCAGGAAGTGGGTCAGTTCATGGGTTTCAAAAATAGGAACAATGTAGTTGAAATACTTGCCATCAAAAAAGATGTTGACTGCAGGCTTTGATTCGAATATAAGGATAAATGTCAGTACATAAGATGTTTGATTGATATGTTTATTCAAATATTTCATTTGGTAAAAAAACAGCATTGTAAAGCACTCCAGATGTCTAAATGGCTTGAAACTTGAACCAAGTTAAAATAGAAAACAACAACAATAATATTTAAAAAATGGTCGTTGGATGATAAACAATAATGGTTCTGATATTGTTGCACTCATTTAAAGGCATTTGCAGTGTTGAGCAATTTAATTTTTTTAAAGAAAAAACATTTTTTTCTGTCCCAGTAAAAAAAAAATAGTGGGTGTACAAAACTGTGTTACAAAATGATAAATAAATTCAGATACCTCGGTATCCATTATTAAAAATAACACACTGACTAATGTGTACATAGAACGAGCAGCTTTTGATTTTGCAGAAATAGTTTTGCAGAAGAAAGCAGTACAAAATACAGATATTTCTGAGGACCTTTTTCTATCATTTATTGCTATAACTGTTTCTATAGATTATTTCTAATAATAATACGCTTTCTATAGATTACTACTTATTACTATTATTTCTACAGATATTACTTAATAATTATGTTGCAGTTTAGATCCAGAGAAGGCTAGCCTCTTAGTTAATGTGTAGGTTGAACTTAGCTGCTTTACGAACCTGCTTTTGGAGAATAAGCATGTCAGCTTGTCGTTGCAAAGATTTAGTTTTGAAAGCTTTATTTAGGAAAATATAAACAGTTTAAATAACTTTGCATTTTTAATACAGAAATTTAGTCTGTTTGGGGTAAAATCTAGTTGGTACTGCAACTAGATTGTGGATTGACGGATTGTGGCTAAAAACATCCATTTAAAATAGGAGGCTTAGGAATTTAATGCAGGTTTACAAGGTCTACAAGTGGCCCACAAGGATTTTCTTCCTTGTGTGCAAATCCACAAGGGAAATGCACAGTGAGAAAAAAAGAGAACCCAAGAGAGAAAAAGACACTGAAAGACCAGTTAATTAAATGTTTATGTCTTAATGCTACAGGACGTGAAGAAAATGCAAAAGAGAGAAGCCAGTCAGTTAACACATGATTGTGATGTAACTGGGATCACAGAAACATGGCTAACAGAGACTTGTGGTCACAAATGCAACATTAGTGGATGTAAAAATGTCCAAAGAGATGGGAGTTGGGAGAGAGTATCTCTATACAGCATTCAGGCACTGGTACTTAACACAGCCTAATGCAAGGTCACAAAATCTGCATGGTTGTGCTAGGGGTATGCTACTGACCACATGACTTACATATCAAATAAAATGCTATCTGAAATGCTAAAATCACAGATATAAATGAAAAGGAAAAGATGGTTTTATTGTGGAGAGTTTAATTTTCCTCACAGAATGTTGAACTACTAGTAGGGAAAGAAAAACTGAAATGTTAGACGTGGCTAATGGTGGTTTTCTGCCTCGATTTGTCAGAGCATTTACTGTACTGGAGGCAGTGGCAGAATATAATCTTTTCAAACAATCAAGACAGAATGAGAAAAACAGGTGAGAGAACCATTAGGGAACTGTGAACATAGTACCATATACGTTGAAGCGGTATAGGCAGAGCAGAAAGCAAGGAAGAGTGCTTCAGTATAGTAAAATGGAACAGGGTGAAGCACAGAACAGATTCAGCCATTAAATAAAGTTGATGAAAGTCAGTAGTAATGTTTATTGGTTAAATAAATCAGATAACAATATGAGGTGAAAGTACTTCATAAAACTTTCAAGATCAAATATGTTCTTGATATTACAAAAGCAAAAGAAGCAAACATTTCTCCAAGATAAAAATAGAAATTGTTAGGAAATGAAAGTAAAACTGTTGATGTGAATGTTTCACTCAGGTTTTTATGAAGGGGGAAATTGTCAACATGCCTGAGGAAAGTTTTATATCAAATAATATTTGCATAGTGAGGCAGAAGCATTACAGCTGCTGGAAGAAGTTAAAATAAATGTCCAGGCTCTGAAAGTATTGAACTAATTGTACTTACAGAAACCAAATTTATTAGTATTATACTTATTCATAGTCTGTTAACAGAAGTCTTACAGTAGACAAGGAAACAATAATAATAATAATAATAATAATTGCTTACACTTATATATCGCTTTTCTGGACACTCCACTCAAAGCGCTTTACAGGTAATGGGGACTACCCTCCACGACCACCAATGTGCAGCATTCACCTGGCGGACAATAACTGGAACAAAAGTGTAATCTACAGTATATGGCAGAAAGATTCTATGGGATATTCAATATGAATTTGGAAAAGGAAGATCTTGCTTAAAAATCTGCTAGAGTTCTTTGAACTGGAAACAACAGTAATGGCTACAAAGTATGCTAATGTATATTCATATTTTCAGGAGGCTTTTGACATGTTCTCAAATTGCAGACGATACTCATTTAAGGTAATGCATGAAGGTGAATCAGGAAAAGGTCCATGGAGAGCAAAAAAAAAGTGTGGTGATGGAGTAGAACACCATTCTGTTACGATGCAGAACTGGGCAAGCACCTGGCACATGGTGTTTAGAGTGGAAATTGAGGAGTGTTGCATACAGGCACCAAAAACAAATAACTACAAAATAGAAAAGGGGTGAAATGCTTAGCTTTAATAGGTTGCTTATGAGAGACACAGTCTCTCAGTTTTCCTCATCTAGACACTGCAAAGAAGCAATATAAAAATCATCAATGTTAGGATATCGTTTATATTCCACCATGTAAGTCAATTGAGAAAACATTCTCGTTTACAATAATGATCTGGAGATACCGTATTTATACCTGGATTTATACCATAGTACAGTACCTTGCCGAAGAGTACAACAGTAATGCCCTCTCAGGATTTGAACCCATGACCCTCCATTGAGTTTATAGTCTAATACCTATTTTATCCTGCAGTCTAGAGTAGTATACATAGTTAAGTACAGTCACCTCCAAAAGTATTGGCACCCTTGATAAAGAAGAGCATTTGTGTAATGTCAATGAAGCCAAGAACTGCAAAAGAACAGTTTTAACACTTTGTTGCCTTAAAGCATACATTCATGGCACATGAAATTCACATACGTTTTCTGCACAACAGATCCAGACATACAAAGCAAAGAACAGACAGACTCTAAACAGATAACTAATATGAAAAAATAACTAATCTAAAAGAAAAATGGAAGCATCATGATACCATCAATTTAGGTTTTGAAAATGACTTTGGCAAGCTACATATTCAGTAGACTGACTCTTCTTTAAGAGTGGTTTACATAATTACCATCTGTGATAAATTACTGATAGGTATATTCATGGTAATTAATCCACAATTAATTACCATAAATACACCTGTCACTGTAAGGTCTCCCAGTCAAGGAGTGAAAAGTTAAGCAAAACTTCAACCATGAAAATCAAGGACCTTTAAAAACATCTCAGGGAAAAGTTGTTTAAAGGCAGAAGAAGGGTCTAGACTATTACAAAGACTGTTGGTACCTCTTTGAGCATGGTGAACCCTCTTACAGTAGATACTGCCTGAATCAGACTGCCGCTCCAAACTAAGGAGCCAGGCGAGTAGGAAACTGGCTCGCGATGCCACCATGAGGCCAAACGCAACGGAATTACAGAGTTCAGTGGCTGAGATGGAAGAAAAGGTCCATGGGTCAACAGTATCCTGCTCACTCTTTGCTTACAAGCAAAGGGACTTGTAAGGATAATGTATCTGTAATGTACAAGCAGATTGCTTCAAAAATAATTTGATAATTATAAAAAGAATTACTTAAAACCTATATTTATAGGATGTATATTTTTAAAAATGAATCTGCTGTATTTACTGTGGAGATTAGATGAGATTATGGTGGAGATTATATGTTATTGAAAGCTAGAAATGTCTTCATAAACACATAGACTTCATGACAGCTTTTATGTAGCTACAGTAATACATTAGAATGTTTTTTCCCCTCATTCCGAGACATAAATGCACCAAGTAATATAAGTCAAGTGTGGTAAAAGCTAAGGTCAGTAATACACTGTGGTTTGACTGCATTAGTCACATGCAAGGAATATATAAAAATAAACTATCATTGAAAAAGAGGACTTCATGAATCTAAAAGCCCTAGTCCAAGAAAAACCTTTAGAGCATGCTCTAAAATATAACTGGAGAATAAAATAAACGAACAAATGGAGTGCTGTTTTCTTTGGCCTTTGAGGAACTCAAATGTTTTCAGTCTCATGGTCCTGCTGAATTAACCGTTTCCATGACAGTAACAGTGAAATGAATGAAACAGCACCTTTATACAATACTGTAGGCATAATTATCCACATGCTGCATTCATAGCTCAGGAATTACTGAGGAGTGGAAAATATTGTTAAAGTTTGCTTTATCACTATCACCATTTTTTTCAATCACTGCCTATCCAATTAATGGTTACCGAAGCCCAGAGCCTTGTTTGCTTTATGAGTTATTTAAAATGTATGTTCTACCTAGAAGACTACATTTCTGAAAGATGAGATTTAAATTCACTCATATGTGTATTCAAATGTGTGATCTTTGTTCTCCACTATCCACCTAGTTGAATAAAACTCCTATAGGTCTAACGGCTATTGCTCCTAGAGAGGTTACATGCAGTATCTTTACTAATGTATCGGCTGGCTTATGTGATTTCAGATTCCATGTTCTTGTGCATACTCAGTTTTTGGTGATACACAAATGCACAAAGGTGTGTCTCTATTTGAGTGCACTTGCACATACATGCACATGCCCCAAAGAAAATGATTGATTGCCAATATGAGTCACAATACTCATGGAACAGCTTTGGATGTGTTTTTGTGTGTTTCTACACAGCCACAGATCAAAATCATTTAAAAAAAAATATCAGTGTACAGCAATACATGTTAAAAGGCTGTGTAATTTTCTGTTGTTTGAGATTTTTTATGTTTGCATTTAGGCAAAATCCATAATTCCCTTTAATTTCCATATATTTATTTACAATGTACAAATATGGATAGAAATGCAGGTTTATAGAGAGCAATATGGATCACAGATACATGCAGTATAATTAAAATTATGCAGAACTGCTGAACCTATGATTATAAGAAGTATTATTCCATAACAGAAGGGCAGGTTTTGTTACTGCAGCAATAACCTGCAGCAGGTCAGGACATATATTTACATATTAATAAATCGTTTCAGGGCTTGAACATGTACATTAGTACTGTGGTGATTTAATTATACATTTAATTGCTGTTTGGTTAATATTTAATATTTTTATATATTGGAAGTGTAAGTTAA